TTTTCCCAAGACTGCCCATCTGACCCACAACTTTCCTTGTGGGAATAACAAGTGATTTCTGTCACCTTAAAAACCCATGTGACTCTTCTTTTTTCTGGCATGTATACAACACTTGAAGAATATCAGAGAGGATTTCTGTGTTAGTTAAGTTTTGACATCAGAGTCCAGCTCACATTCACTTCTTTGAGATTGTATTCTGCCACCAGCCCTACCTAGCTAAGTCTAGGTAGTCCTATGGCAATTCTTTGCACATCTGCCTTGGTCTTTTAGTAGATTACCTTCTGTGCTTGGATATATCCCAAAAACAAAAAGCAGAAACAAAGCTTACATTTATACGACTGTACAGTCAGACAGTTCCCATCTCATTGAATCTTTTTATCTCTTAGTTCTAGTGTTCTAAAAAGAAAGTTTAGTTCATCCAAGTCTATGAATTTTTCTGCTAAGTTAGATAACCATTTCTGATGCAATTGTCTTCAAGTTATTTGGAGTAGGAGAGATAGAAGAGGAGAGTTTCCTTGGAGAGGTGGCACTATGTTAGATGCATTACTTTTGATGCCATGGGTCTGAGGCTGAATAGCCAGGACTGGGGTAGAGGTAATCAAAATCTTCAACTTCCAGAAGAACCCATTTCTCTTCTTAAGATGGCCAATGATTTAAGTGGTAATAGAAATAAACAAGGAATGAACTTTTAACTTACCTGGTGAACTCTCAGGAATTTTCAGGCATTTCTGAATATTTTAGGGGTCTGATCAGTAATTTCTGAGAGATTATCAAGTGATACGATAATATATTCATACTAGCTGGCCATCATCTTTAAGGCATTCTTCACTTGTCCCTTGGCTTATGTAAATGAGGCTCTGGGTACTGGAAGTTGTGGCACCATTGAGCTTCCCAACAAGGATCTGGTTAGCATGAATGCGGCATGGTGTCAGATGGGCCCTGGGACCTACTGAGGTCCCAGTAGTTTTGATAGAGGAGCACTCATCCTTTTTTCTTACATTGGAGTACATGGGCAAGAACTATACTTTCATAGCTCAGACACAACTGACCTCATACTACAGTAGAATCAACACATGGCACCATCCCCTTGATGCTTGAGCTATCAAGCACATTGCCTATCCCTATCAGAAGACCTACAAAGTTCTGGGCCAGTTGTCACTGCTCACCTCTCTGCAGTTCATGCAAGCCATGAGAGTAGGTATGTGATATAGTTTCTCTAAAATATGGGGCTTAGAAGTAAAGTAGCCTCCAGAAATTGCTTGTGAATTTCTCTGGGAGTAATGCTAGCAATATGCTGGGGTATGTATGATAATAATGTCCTTGCATCCTTCCACTGCATGTGAAGTGTCATTTGTGAGAGTTAGAACTTTCAACTCTTGACTCTACCTTTGACCCCAATCCCTTCACTCATATGGGCAATGGAAGACCAAGAAAACTAAAAGCCTCAAGAAATTTTGTTCCAATATTCCCCCCAACCACTGGTTCTTAGGAGTTGAGCCAGACCTAGGAATGGGGCATCTTTGAAGGTTCACATATTCCAGGTACTAGTGGAAATTGCATCCTGAAGCGGTCAGGTAAAAGCTAAATAGACTGAAGTTAGGCATAAAATACAAATAGGGCTAGATGAGCAGAAGTGATCAAATTATGAAGATAGATTACAGCATAAAAAGAAGAAAAGCATGAGAAGAGTGGAAGCAAATAGAAGGAAATATGGAGGAAAACTTTAATCTAGTGTCCACATATTCTTAGAGGCATTTTGTCTGATATCCATGACTATTGATGCAGGTATGCTGAAATCTAATAAAAGAGCCAAAGCAAAACAAATGTGCAGCTCCAGCACTGTTAGTATTAACTCTTTAATTTTACATCCTTACCAGTTTGCAAATCTATCCATCCTTCTCTCCTTTGCAGTTGTTTCCTAAGTCATAGAGATTCTACCTCTTAAATACTCTTCGATCTATTTTTATAGTGACCAGAGTGATCCATATAAAACACATTTGACTTAAGTACCTTCAATTCCTATTTCCTACAAAATTAAATACTAATATCTGAGAGTATATAAGACTATTTATGATCTTGCCCATGCTATTTCTCTACTCTCATCTCTCACCACTTCCTTTTCTCTCAAGACCCAATGATTTTTGGTATTTCCTGGAACATGCCATTTTATTATGTTTCTACATGATTTGGTTCATCTGGATATTGTCTGGAATGTTTTATTGTTGCCTGGCAAATTCCTACTAGTATTCTATGACTTTCTGCCTCTCTGAAATCTTTTCTGATCTACCATGGCAGAGCTGAAACCACTTTCTTTACAGACTTCCTCTATTTTAGAATCCACTGCAGTGAATTATAGTTATTTGAAAATTTACTTCTAGAGAGCATGGACCATGTCCAATTTCTGTACCTTCAGAGTCTGGTACAGGGCCTGACACACGGTAGGGTCTTAAATTATCTTTGAATGGGAAAACATAATGCTTTGTGTATAAGTGGGAGGAACTTGTCAACATGTTGTTGATAATCATCTCTTGGATCCAAGATTTGATGGCTAAATATGTGATATTGATTCATTAATTCAACAAGTGTTTCTCAAACATCTATGTTAAGCCAGATATGAGAATACCATGATGAATAAAAAGAGATATGTTCTTCACTGCTCTTAAGGAGTTGAAGATTTACTGGGGGAAACTGTTACTGTATTTGCTTGAATTATTAAATAAAATAGAACATATTCTGAGTTTGGCCCACAATGTCAGTCTGAGACTTTCCCTAATGCGGGGCTTTCTGCAGTATAAGGTGAAAAGCCTTTGCCTGGTGGGCTACTTTGGCTTTATGTGGACTGCAAGTTTGTCTCTAGTTCTTCAGCACAGAAAAGCCATTGTGATTAATGAACACAACAAGCTAAGAAACAAGCATGTAAAACAGTTGAACATGTTGTTTTAATCCAGGCAAAACTTTGTTGCTAGAAATCTGTGGAGGGTTGACATACATTAGTGACTTCATAGTTTATAAGTGTTTTTGTATTTATTGTGGGTTTTGGAAAAAGGAATGGGGGGCATTAAAAAATCAACAAAACAAGATCACTTAGGCTGGAGGGACTAACTTTATGCAGTAAGATATTATCACTATATACCCAAGAAAATAAAAGTCCAATCTCCCTGCTAAAAACCAAAAAAACCCCAGAAACATCTACCTCAGGAAATATGACTGGAGGAATGAAAGTAGCTGCCAGGTCCTGGCATTTTGAAAATGGAAAAGGAACAACCACCCACCCCCAAACCCCCTGAGGACTCAGGTTCTGTTTTATTCTAGTTGGGGGTTAGTTTTAAAAAAGGATAGACTTGGAGTCAAAGAGACTAGTGATGTTTAAAATCAGTTAGTTAGGTCCATTCAGAGGCAAAAGGAAGGTCCAGCATTACAGGGGATGGGCATTCTCTTTTAAATGTTGCAGTGCTTGCTAGGAATTTACCCAAGGGACACAAGAGTGCTGATGCATAGGGGCACATGTACCCCAATGTTCATAGCAGCACTCTCAACAATAGCCAAAACATGGAAAGAGCCTAAGTGTCCATTAATTGACCAATGGATCAAGAAGATGTGGTTCATCTATACAATGGAATACTACATGGCACTGAGAAAGAATGAAATCTGGCCATGTATAGCAACATGGATGGAACTTGAAGGTGTTATGCTGAGCGAAATAAGTCAGGCAGAGAAGGACAGATACCGTATGTTTGCACATATAGGTGGATTAGGATGAACTAAAAGAAGACCATGGGGGAGGAGAAGGAGAAAACTAGTTGGGGAGAGGGAGGGAGGCAAACCATGAGAGACTCTTGAATGTTGAGAAAAAACTGAGGGCAGATGGGAAGGGGGAGAGGGGAAGGGGGGTGATGGGCATGGAGGAGGGCACTTGTTGGGATGAGCACTGGGTATTGTATGGAAACCAACTTGACAATAAACTATTTAAGAAAAAAAATAAAACGGCATAGGAATAAAAAAAGTAAAAAATAAAAAATAATAAATGTTGCAGTGCTATTTAACATAGGAGTTTATCTTTCTTGAACTTGGCTCTGCTGTTTTTCCTCCAGCCCCTCAGATGGAGATGGCAACAATCTAGGAATTCCTGGACAACAGAGAAGCAATTTTTTCCCTTTTAGGTGGCACGCTATTGTGGCAGGTACGTGCTGCTACAAGGGTTAATCTTTGATATATAAAAAGATTACAAACACAAGGCAAAGTCAAGTCACAATTTCAGCTTGAATCCAAAGGAGGAATCTCTTAAATTGAAGCTAAAGCTAATTTGCTTAATTAGGAGCTTCAAAAAAAAAATCAAGTTTAGTATTATATAACAATTAATCTACTAACACTTTCCCCTCCATTTGTGAGGGTCTCAGAGAGAAAGGAGTGTTCTTGAACATCTTTTTAAAATAACAATTGTAGGCTAGGTAGAGCTTTCAAGGTTCCTTCTGAGATTTAGAGAAGGAAGGAAATGGGGAGAGGATAAAATTACAGGTTATTTCATACCTTTTCCCAGTTCTAAAAAGAAAGCAACTTTGGCATTCCAATAGACTAGTTTTCCAAAAAAGAGTTTGGGCTTTGGCCTAAGATCCCTCTAAAGCTGTTGTCCTGTCCATTTAAATGCAACTCCAGAAAGGCTAATATAGTGATACATTTCTTCTACCAACCTTAGTGTAAAATAGTAGGGTACAGATTGATGGGTTCTCCATTCCAACAGCAGCAAATACCTATGTACAAATGGGAACTACTTTTTGCAAAACTGGACTCTGACTATTTCCTGAATTAACTTTTTACCATTGTGGTTTAGTTGCTTGTTTTTGATAGGCAGAGTCACAATTGTGACGAGGAAAGGGAGTTCTTGTACTGGCCAGGCAAGATTACCAAGGGGTTCATTCCAGCTTCAGAAAGGGAAGCAGGTCATGCCCACTTCTTGCAACCAGATTATCTCCACTCCTCAGAACCAGATCAACTCCATTCCACTAAACTGGATCATTCCCACTCCTGGAAAGTAGGAGTGGATCATCTTTCCTCCCTGAAGCTGGGAAAGAATCATCCCCATTTCCAGCTGAAGAAGGAAGGCAGTCACTGCCAAGCTGTCTGCCACCTGCAACTCTTGACTTGATTGTCCCCATCAAACCTTCAAAGGATCTGAATGTGGCTGACTTCTTCATGTCTCCAAGCTTCCTGCAGATGGCAGAGCCTATGGTGGACAGGGCAGCTGACGTATTTTGTTTCATGTAGACATCGGAGATTTGAACGTTGTGCCAGCTTTTGGACAGATTCTGCCTCAGCTCCTGCAAGGCTATGAGGCCCAGCTTTTTCTTGAGCTCTATACAATGTCTTTCTTTTGCTGCCAGAGCATGGTGTAGGGTTATAATTTCACCCTCCAATTTAGTGAGTTTGGATTGAACTCCTTTCGTTCAGCCTCTGTGAGATCTTCTAGTTCAGCAGTTGGGTGGGACTCTGTCATGGTCTCTGTCATGGCTCCTGGCATGGACTGGAAATGAAGATCTTCATGAAGAGAGCCCAGGTCCAATTCTTGGTAGAGAGAGTCATACTCATAGTCAGCGGAGAAATAATCTTGGCCCCCAGAGTCGAAATCAAAACCTGCAGGGTACAACTTGGCTGTGGAGTGGGACTCTGGGAGTGATGGATCCATGTCTTAGCAGGTGGACCAAATGCCTTGGTGGGTGGTTGGGTATTCAGACATTATTCTGACATGCAGAATGGATGCCTCAGCTAGAAAGGTCCATTTCATGGGTAGAGGGTAGGGACCTGCTCCACTGGCTTCGGGGCTCGGAGGCAGCACTTCTGGGCTTAAGCCCAAAGCGGAAGGAACCTGGGGTCAGCTGCAAGGACTCCAACACTGCATGTGGTGGTTTGATGTTACAATGATCATGTGAGGTGGTTAGTGGGCCCGTTACTGTCAGAGAAAAGAGATGCTTCTCTTTCTGCCATAGTAGGGGGTAGATCCTGGCCTTCAAACAAAGTCTGACTTCTCTTACAGACACCAGAGGTTGTAAAATCACCAGAGGTTGTAAAATTCTTGAAAGTCGAGCCTTGTTTACTAACAGAAATTTATGAAAAAGCCCAATATGTAAGATAAACAAAAACTACCTCAAAATGGGGCAGAGAGTCTAGAACTCCTGGCTTTGCACTGTCTCCATTTTCCCTTCCCAGGTTACCAAAGGGCCTCGAGAAACTACTACCCTGGAGGGCCTAGAACTACTCATAAAGTAGGTTTGAAGGCTCCTCATAACTCTCGAGTCTAGGTAGTGACTAATGTGTTCACATGGCATAAAGTATCAACCGTGTCAGAGGCTTGGGATGATGAAACTCAGAAAGTGAGTCTGTCCAGTTAAAATTGTCTTGTTATTTTCGGAAGTAGAGAGGAGAACAAGTAAATCTGTTATAGTTGTGGCAAATTTAAGCTTAACAAAAACAAATACTATTGTACTATGAGAATTCAGGAGAGAAGGAATACGACATGGAAATGGACAGTGTATGAGTTTTCAATATTGTAGCTGCAGTTTTTCCCCAAGCAATCACTCACGTCCTGAAAGCATGTCTGTTTACATACATGGTTATCAGTTGTAGGAGATGGTCTGCAAAGTAAAGTGGTAATTGGATAGATTCTATCGGGATATAAAACCACCATATCCCTTATTTCTACTCAGCAGTTTTATGCAGTGGAAAAATCAGGACTTCAATCCAGTGAGGGCAGGTGGTCACATATTTCTTAGCCCATTTTCAGGCTACCATTCCCAGGGTTTTGGCTTTTGTGATTTTGTTGGAGATTCTGGCAGTTATTGCAAGCATGATCTTGTGGAACATGTGATTCCTAGCAAATTTCAGCAATTTGCCATATGCATACCCTATGTAGCCATGTAGCATCTACCTGGGGATCCAAACTAACACAAAGCCTTCCTTTGGGTTTATATTAAATAACCCTTACACATAACTCAGTAGTATTTATTATTATCTTACCCTGAAATGTGTGCCTCCATAGATTAAAAAATGAGGATTGTTCTTGTTGGAAACATGAAAGCTGTTGAGAGTTTGGCCATGCATATGAAGGCCTGAAAATGGCAGCAAAGACTGCTTAAAAACAGTTTTGTTCCACAAGATGGACTTTTCCTCCATTACCCGCAGAAACACTACTCGTTTCAGGAATGCTCTGGTTGTGAACCAGAACTCTTTTAAAACTGAGGATGAATGTTAAATAACACCCTTAATTAAGCTAAGCAGCATGCAACACACATCGTCCATTCAAATTGAGATTCCAAATGACCATATTTGAATTTGTGCTTGATCTTATCCTTCTCTGAACACTTTCAGCCACCATCCTCACTGCTTATTTTTGTTTCTATGCTTGCATGTCGTTCAATTCAAAGAATGAAATTCCTTGTTAACCTTTGATTCTTGTAAGTAGTGTGATGATTTCCGTCGTAGCAAAATTAACTCACTCACTCTTAGCAACTTCATTTCCAGATCCCAACTAAAAACATGGCCTCTGGAAGAGGATCTCCTAGCTAGTAGTGTTCTGACCTCCTGAGTAGACTTACCTGTACAAATAAGTTACACAATGGAACAATCTGTTTTATTAGGCTTCTGCATAACCACACATGAAACAACACATATTTTGAAAACACAGATCTATCAAGTGAAATTTCATTTAATTTATACTGATTCTAACCAATTGTTTGAATAAACTATCCTGTTAGGTTGTAAAATACCAAACTATTGCCCCATGGTTTCAGGACCTTACATTTCTAGATTTAACAATGTAATAATTTATATCACAGAGAAAGGTTAACAAAGTTGCTAATCTGAAACTGATAGCCTTTTGATGCTATTTATGCATTAAAAACAGCCAAAATATTTGATTCAGTAACCTATGAAGAAAGAGTTTGAGAAATATTTTTAATCCTAAACTTGGTATCTTTTGTTTCCAAGGAAAGCATTATTGAATGATTTTTAGTAAAGAATGAACATTGACTTATTTCTCTAATAATAGTGATGGATTTATATCAATCCTGTGTAAACATAAAGGTAAATGGTACAAGAAAAATGATGGCTTCTTCCTCCTAATGTGTAGAAGCTTAACTTGTATGTTATGTTTTATATATAAATTATTTGAAATTTGAATGTAAGAGCAAAGCCATAATCTTCACCAGGTCTGGATTGCTTGGGATGGAAGAAGTAAGATTGTTGTAATTGATACTGGAGTCTAGAAATGATTAGGAATTGTACCAGTGCCGGCAGGTTTAACCATTCGACTTCTTTTGATATAAAAGACCAACATAGAGCTTCCTGAATTATAAAATAATCCACATTGGTGCTTTAGATTGCTTCTAAAGAACTGATAATTATTTTGTAGTCCAATCAATTGCCATACTAGATTTAACCACACTGAGTTCTCTAGAGCTTTATTTCTAACATAACAGAGCTGCTATCATGAACATTTTGTTAATTTTAGCTGAATATCAGGAAAAATGCTTACATATTTAATTGAGCCTGAAAAATAAGGCATGTAGTGGAAACCCTAAGCCAATGAAAACGTTTTAAAAGTAAGAGGAGAAAATTGGTAGTTGGGCCTCTCTTGTGGAAAGCCAGAATATTTTATTTCAGTTTGCAAAGGTATTTTCACTACTATCTCAAATCATCATCTAGATCCACCAATAATACATGCAGTGTGTCATCCTGGCCAGAGGTATTCTTCAGCATGAACTGCATAAATTTGCTGCAGTTTACAGCTGCAAGTATTAATTGTTAGCAATACTCATATTTCAATGGTTGAGTTGATCTTCATTTTGGATGATATTTCCTTTCAGCAGCCCTTCTACATGGACTAATGTAGACTTAAGTTAGTAACTTTAGAAATACTTAGCCATGGGACACCTGGATGGTTCAGTTGGTTAAGTGTCCAACTCTTGATTTTGGCTCAGGTCTTATGGTCGTGAGATGGAACTCCGCTGTCAGCACAGAGCCTGCTTGGGATTTTCTCTCTTTCCTTCTCTTTCTGCCCCCCACCCCCCTCAATAAATAAATAAATAATCTTAAAAAATACTGAGCCATATTGTAGGATAGGATTTTTCCTTTCTAAAGCCCAAACATACTGTCAGGATATTAAACTGGAGCTTACTACTGTTCCTCTCTTTGGTGGTGTATGTAATTGTGGCAGGGAGTCCCCAGATGAATTAAATTAAAATTTAGAATCTGTTCTTTTCTTCCCACAAGTGTCCATTTTCATAAGTTTATATGTATGCAGTGAAGGGACTTGTTAGAAGGAATTTTTGTCATACACATCTTCAGAGTTAGAAGAGAAATGATGGGGAGATGGAGCAGTGAAGGGAAAGGAAAATGATAAAAAAAAATGTAAAAGCTCCCCTAGGTTAAAAACAAAGAATCTTCGGGGCTCCTGGGTGGCTTAGTCGGTTAAGCGTCCGACTTTCGCTTAGGTCATGATCTCGCGGTTCGTGGGTTCGAGCCCCGCATCCGGCTCTGTGCTGACTGCCAACTCAGAGCCTGGAGCCTATTTCAGAGTCTGTATCTCCCTCTCTCTCTGACCCTCCCCTGCTCACGCTGTCTCTCTCTCTCTCTCCTAGAAATAAATAAAAAAATATATATATAAAAAAAAAACAAAGAATCTTCTTATTGGAAATATAAGGGTATATTTATCCAAAGGCCTACAAATGTCACAAGTGCTCCTTAAACACTGTATTTTGTTCTAAAGAATAGACTTTTCCTTTGATGCTTGCAGAAATGCTAGTGGCTTGAGGAATTCTCCCAGACTCTTAACTAGAAACTGCCTTCTTGGCTAAGGATGAACGGCAGAGAAGCCTATGAACTAAGGTAAATAAAAGGCAGTATGGACAGACTTTAGAGGGAATTTCACAGTGTAAGGTGTTCCCATTCTCTTCATTTGGATGAGCTAAGGGTGGCAGAGGGACAGATTCTCCTTTCCCAGAACTTTGACTTTTGTTTTATTTTTATATGTTGAAGGATAGCATGTTGGAAGATAAGTAAGTCTTGGGGCAACAGTGGAGAATCATCTAGGAGAAGAAAGTGGGCAAAGCTGGTATGTGAGTCAGAGAAGAGTTGGTCAGTTATCGGCTGATATATATAGGTTGATTGTGTTCTGCGAAGGGTCTGAAGGCCTGGTGTGTTTCTCTGGTTAGGATCTAGAAGTTCAGAGGATGCCTTAAAAGGGGGCAGGACATTGTAAAAAGACAAGATTGGGACTTGCTACTCACTATCACAATCCTCCACAACCAACACACATCTTGAATAACATGCAATTCCAACAAATGTACTGCTATAATGTCTGCAGGGGACCCAGATTACTTGACCCTTAACTAAGCAGGAAAATTTAGCAAGAAAATTTACGTGGATGATGTTTAGAATTTGGGTACCAGGAGATACACCTTTCCTCAAGTGACTGGGCATTGAGTGAACATCTACAGAGAGGACAGAGTAGAAGTGCATGCAAGGCCTAGCCCTGAGCATGCAAGACTCCCAGAACTGAGAAGACATGTGATGGGAGTGCTGATGTCCTAAAGTTTGGCTCTGAGGGGGTTATAACTGGCAAAATGT